AGGGAGGATATATGTAATCTTTGCTGTTATACCTCCTCCTTGGCAGAGCAGATGCGGTTATCTTTTGAATTACAGAGATGAGATCATGAAAATTCAATTAGACTTTTCTCCTAAACGGTAAGGGTTTTCAACATGTTATTAACTGTTTAGTGTTTTGCGTAGGGGGGTGTACTAATGGGTGATTTTTTTCCCTTATACTGGGGTTCTTTAGATCATTATAAGTGGTACCCACATTGACAGCTGACATGTTGAAGTTTATCACTTGCTTATATTTATGACACTGGCTTGATGTATCAAATGGCAATAAGTTGAACAGCACACTCATTGGTGTAATCACAAAATGTTCTACACCAAACACGATTAGATTACAGTGCATTTCAAATGGCTTAAAATGAATGAACTGCACCAGTAATATAGGAGTTGTCCAGGATGCCGATGCACCTTTGCTCCCCTCATATTTAAAGTAATTTGTTCCAAAATTATAGGGTCATTTTAAAGCTGTCCTCATGATACAACCTCATTATCTAATCTCTGTACAATTTCAACAACATTTAGTAGATATTTTGTCAAAAATGGATAATCAATGCATTCAATTTATACTCAGCCATGTAAGTTATGTAGTTGTTGGTGAATCTAAACAAGATTGTAAAGTCAGATTAAAGAAAAATAAAATTTACAAAGACCTTTTATTCTCAACTGCTTACTCTTATGTATCCCTTATGGAACTTTTCCACTAATGGAGATCACTAATCCATTGATGTCCTACTGTTACCATCCCTTTTTGTGAGGTCATCATGCCGCTGCTCAAGACTATTAAGGAACTTGCCAATGGACAGCCAGTGGGAACTGTCCACATCACTGATACCCTCTAACTCTGCACAGAGGAAGAGAGAAAGACTTTTGGCTCATTGTGTGACATGACCATGCATTTAGGTGAGTATTTGGGACAGTTAAAATTAGGATGCAGTTTAAAACTGCGGCATTGATTAGAGGAGTAGGGAGCATTGTCCATGTGGTGGGAGCCCCTGGCTGGAGCACCAATGTATAGCTTTTAACACAGACAGAAAAGCACTGTGGTTTTGCTGCAATGGCACAGATCCTGATCAAACTTCACTGCCCAAAATCAACAATGACTGAATCATCTTTCAAACTAGAAGTGAAACTCTCTCACGGATAATTTTCCATTTAAACTACTTTTACACTACAATGAAGTCATTAGTTAATATTTATGACAAGATCAGAGCTGACAGTGTAAAATTGCCAAGGTTCTTGAATGACTACTTTATACAAAACTGTGATTCTATATAAAAAATTGTCTTATTTTAACATCATGCTATACTGTATGTCCTTCGTTACCTGCACACACCAATTTTTAGTTCATTTCAACTGTAATGTAGAAACACATGAATACATGCTTTCAGAAACAGGGGAATTTGCATGGCTAACAGAAAGCTTGTATTCTAACCACAAGACTGAAAATTAATTCAAAAGGGATCTTCTGTTATTATATGGCCAGACATAGTGCATTAGCCAACCATCAAAGTAGAACTAAAGGCAAAAACTTTTTTTTCTCATTTTGGAGTGAATAAGGGTTATAACCCATGTCAGTTTTTTGCCATCTGGGTTCCAGTGGGGAGATTTCCCTTCACTTTCTGTCCCCTAACCAAAACAGGAAATTAGAAAAAATCCCTGAAAATAAAGGAACCTTTTGCATCTCTGGGTAGGGGTTCACGTGAGCCGTGCGCCACCATTCGGGGCCGTCAATGTCGATCACTGGGCTCCGGACAGTAATTGCCCACCGGCGCCGGTGATTACCGAGCATCTCCGATGTGGAGGAAGATTGTTTTGTTTACAAACAATCTTCCTCCCTGTCAGCTTGACTACACTGCTAGGGATGGCTGTGCACAGTACAGCCATCCCGATCAGTGTGCTTACACCCCCCACCCCCTAGTAAAGCACTCCCAGCACACAGTTAACCCTTTGATCGCCCTTCACATTAACTCCTTCCTGCCCAGTACCATTAGTACAGTGCCAGTGCTTTTTTTTTTTAGCACTGATCACTGTGTTGGTGTCACTGGGGTGAAATGCCGAAATTTGATTTTTAAATTTTTTTTACTGGACATGTTTAATAGCAAAAAATACAAAATATTGTTTTTTTTTCTCAAAATTGTCGGCCTTTTTTCATATAGCGCAAAAAATTTAAAAACACACAGGCGATCAATTACCACTCAATTCTTGGGAAAAAAAAAGGACGTACATTTAATTTGGGTGCAGCGTTGCATGACCGTGCAATTGTCAGGTAAAGTAACACAGCACCGTAACGCAAAAAATGGCCTGGTCATGAAGGGGGATAAATCCTCAGGAGGGCAAATTGTTAAAAAAACTAAAGAAAATCCCAAAACAAAACAAAAACAGTACAGCTTTATTGATACAATATTATTAAAACAGTGACATAAAAATGTATTTACATTAAAAGATATTAAAAGATAGCAGTATAGGAACAACAATCCTGAACTGATTTTAATTTTATCACCCACTATGCTGGAGTGTTTAATAACAAACCCTAGGCATCCCCATACAATAATTTTTCTCATATAGCATTTCTCGGATTCAGGTATTCTGGTTGTTTAGGATCTAAAGGGTCAGACTGCTTTCGAAAATTCAAAACTATTAGTTCCCTCAAACCTTAATTAAAGGATGGATAACAAAAATCTAGATCATCATGGGGAAGTTCAGGTGGGGACCAATACTAAGGGAAGAATCGCACATTACACAAACACAAGGCCCATCATGGGGACATTGTGGATATAATCAATGAATTCACTTATCAGGGGATACTGGCACACATCTAAATGAGATTATATGTAACATAATATGTAGGTTACAATTTAAAGTGGAACTTTATCTATAACAACTTGAAAAAAATAATGTTCTTTAGCAAGGTACATACATTTCACATTAATAATTATCTGCTTCTCACTGCACATGAACAGCGGGATGGGAGCAGTGTCAATGCTAGCTGATGTACCCGTATTTCAGTCCACATGAGAGGCTTGTACATGGCACACAGAGCGTGCACCTGGGAGCCCCGGGTGTCCGCCCCCCCCGGACACAGTGGATTACATTACCATTGCGTCCGGGGGATCACATGTCTTGTATCATGTGATTGTTGTGTCCAATGACAACAATCACATGATAAACATAGGAAAGCAAATGTAAACATCAGTTCTCTCTGTTCTCACACAGATCTGCTGTGAGAGCAGTTGCTGCAGCCTGTGAGTGTAAAGCAGTCTGTCACACTGCATGTACACTCATAGACTACAGTGCCAGCCTTCCCCAGTGTCCCTGATCACTGCTCAGGGGCGGACTGACCATTTGGAAACTCTGGCACTGCCCGAGGGCCCGGGGTCAGTAGGGGGCCTGTCAGGGCTCCTGGGTGTGACCAGAGGTGTGTGACTGACGCAGGGAAACGCAGACTTCAGATATGTTATAAACAATGTAATTTATTAACACTAACAATACAAACAAACGCAGTGCAATATTAAACCATAACACAGTGCAAACAAACCAAACCAAACCACCCACAGATAACAGTACATACAATGCAAGCGTCGTCAGGCAGGCCGGGTCAATATCAATCGGGCAGGTAGGTACAGGGGGAGCAAGCGGAGAATGGTCGGGGTCACAAGCCAGGTTCAGCAGGTAGCGGGCAGCGTGGTACAGAGGGTCAGGCAGAGGAGAATGGTCAGACAAGCCAGGGATCAGGAGCAGGAGAATGGTCAGACAAGCCAGAGATCAGAGCAGGGTCAGCAGAGAATCAGACAGGAACAGGAACAGGAAACAGGGCCCAGGAGAAACACAACACCAAGGCAGCGTCTGCAGGTCTGAATGTCCCTTAAATACACCAGTATAATTAGTTCCAGGTGTTTGACTGGCTGCAAGGTTGAGTCTCTGATTGCTGGGAGCACCCGCTGGCCAGCCCTGGTACTGCAGCTCATAAGGCAGGTGAGTCCCACTATTGCTGGGACTCACAGGTCTCGGGGCCCCAGGCGGAGCGACAGGTCTCGGGCCCCCAGGCGGAGCGACAGGTCTCGGGACCCCAGGCGGAGCGACAGGTCTCGGGACCCCAGGCGGAGCGACAGGTCTCGGGACCCCAGGCGGAGCGACAGGTCTCGGGCCCCCAGGCGGAGCGACAGGTCTCGGGCCCCCAGGCGGAGCGGCGGGCACCGAGTCAACTGGCAAGACTGCGGGCACCGAGTCAACTGGCAAGACTGCGGGCACCGAGTCAACTGGCAAGACTGCGGGCACCGAGCCAACTGGCGGAAGAGCGGGCACCGAGTCGTCTGGCAAGACTGCGGGCACCGAGTCGTCTGGCAAGACTGCGGGCACCGAGTCGTCTGGCAAGACTGCGGGCACCGAGTCGTCTGGCAAGACTGCGGGCACCGAGTCGTCTGGCAAGACTGCGTGCATCGAGTCGTCTGGCAAGACTGCGGGCACCGAGTCATCTGGCAAGACTGCGGGCATCGAGTCAACTGGCGGAACAGCGGGCATCGAGTCAACTGGCGGGGAACAGCGGGCTTCGAGTCGTCTGGCAAGACTGCGGGCACCGAGTCGTCTGGCAAGACTGTGGGCACCGAGTCGTCTGGCAAGACTGCGGGCACCGAGTCGTCTGGCAAGACTGCGGGCACCGAGTCGTCTGGCAAGACTGCGGGCACCGAGTCGTCTGGCAAGACTGCGGGCACCGAGTCGTCTGGCGGGACAGCGGGCACCGAGTCGTCTGGCAAGACTGCAGGCACCGAGTCGTCTGGCAAGACTGCGGGCACCGAGTCGTCTGGCAAGACTGCGGGCACCGAGTCTGGCAAGACTACGGGCACAGAGTCGTCTGGCAAGACTACGGGCACCGAGTCTGGCAAGACTGCGGGCACCGAGTCGTCTGGCAAGACTGCAGGCACCGAGTCGTCTGGCAAGACCGCGGGCACCGAGTCGTCTGGCAAGACTGCGGGCACCGAGTCGTCTGGCAAGACTGGCGGGGCACCGAGTCGTCTGGCAAGACTGCGGGCACCGAGTCGTCTGGCGGAACAGCGGGCACCGAGTCGTCTGGCAAGACTGCGGGCACCGAGTCGTCTGGCGGAACAGCGGGCACCGAGTCGTCTGGCAAGACTGCGGGCACCGAGTCGTCTGGCAAGACTGCGGGCACCGAGTCGTCTGGCACGACAGTGGGCTCCGAGTCAACTGGCATGACCGCTGGCACTGGGTCAGACATTGGATCGTCTGGCTGGACAGCGGGCATCGGGTCACCAGGTATGACAGCGGGCACTGGGTCACCAGGCATCAGGTCATTTGGCTCGCCAGCGGGCACCGCGTCATCTGGCAAGGCAGTGGGCACCGAGTCACCAGGTACGACAGCGGGCTCTGAGTCAATTGGCACGACAGCGGGCACCGGATCAGGTACCGGATCATCCGGATCAACAGCGGGCATCGAGTCAACTGGCCTAATAGGATCGTCAGGCTGGATCAGTTCATCATGCTGGGTAGAGGCATCAGGCTAAATGCAGGCATCCGGCTGAGTAGAGGCATCAGGCTGAGTGCAGGCATCAGGCTGAGTGGAGGCTTCAGGCTGAGTGGAGGCTTCAGGCTGAGTGGAGGCTTCAGGCTGAGTGGAGGCTTCAGGCTGAGTGGAGGCTTCAGGCTGAGTGGAGGCATCAGGCTGAGTACAGGCATCAGGCTGAGTAAAGGCATCAGGCTGAGTACAGGCATCAGGCTGCGTACAGGCATCAGGCTGCGTACAGGCATCAGGCTGAGTACAGGCATCAGGCTGGGTACAGGCTTCAGGCTGAGTAGAGGCTTCAGGCTGAACCACGGAAGGCAGGTTCTCAGACGGCAGGCTCACCGGTTTAGATACTGGCAGGATGGTATTAGTTGGAAAGAATTTTCGCTTTTTTTCTGGTTTTAACTACTGGAGCACTGCAAGTAAATGCAGGTCTGCAAACGAATGGAGCAGCTGGAGACAGAGAAGAGCTGGAGGATGGAACAGGGGAGTGAACAGTTGCTACAGAGGGCTTTTTTACAGGGTTAAAGGCAGGATAGGTGCAGTGAGTGGGAACAGGGTACTGACATGCGGTAGATAGCAGGGCAGGAGGAGCTGTTGGGAATGCAGGAATAGAGCTTTGAGGAAATAGATTAGAAGCAGGACTGGGTTTTTGTAGGCTGACTGAGGCTGGGTGCAACAAATCTGTCCATGTCTGCAGTATGGGTTGAACAAAGCTGAGCTTACACAAAGCCTGTCTGACCAAAGACTGCACTGCGTTTATACAATCTCTTAGTATCTGTGGTGAACATGCAGAATAATGCTCCAAGAAGCAATCCACATCATCCTCTAATAACCACACCAGGGACTCTACCTGGTCGGCACTAAATGGGGGCAAAAATTCATCCCCGCATTCGGGGGTACCAGATGAAACCAACTCCGCACAAATCTGAATCAATGGTTGCACCTCAGAGAATTCTGTGCCCTGATCTACTAGAACATGAGCGAGCCGTATACATTTCTAGCAGTTCATCCCGGGGATACTCCTTCAGAGTTTGATAAGCATACTCTCTGTTATCAAACACTAGCAGATATAAATACACAACCTCATCAAGATCCATCCTTCCCATCAACAAACCAAGATGGCTTCCCTGTGCAGCCACTTCTGGTCAGGATGGGCCTTGGTGTAATGTCAGGGCTCCCGGGTGTGACCAGAGGTGTGTGACTGACGCAGGGAAACGCAGACTTCAGATATGTTATAAACAATATATAATTTATTAACACTAACAATACAAACATAAACGCAGTGCAATACTAAAACATAACACAGTGCAAACAAACCAAACCAAACCACCCACAGATAACAGTACATACAATGCAAGCGTCGTCAGGCAGGCCGGGTCAATATCAATCGGGTAGGTAGGTACAGGGGGAGCAAGCGGAGAAGCGGGCAGCGTGGTACAGAGGGTCAGGCAGAGGAGAATGGTCAGACAAGCCAGGGATCAGAGCAGGGTCAGCAGAGAATCAGACAGGAACAGGAACAGGAACAGAAACAGGGCCCAGGAGAAACACAACACCCAAGGCAGCGTCTGCAGGTCTGAATGTCCCTTAAATACACCAGTATAATTAGTTCCAGGTGTTTGACTGGCTGCAAGGTTGAGTCTCTGATTGCTGGGAGCACCCGCTGGCCAGCCCTGGTACTGCAGCTCATAAGGCAGGTGAGTCCCACTATTGCTGGCCAGTCCATTCCTGACAGGGCCCCATAAGATGCCCCTGGTACCTTTTTCATAGGCTTTTTTGAGTTTGGGCAAGGACACAGGGGCCCCATGATCCCCTATTGCCCAGGAGCCCCATGAGTTCAGTCCGCCCCTGTCACTGCCCCCAGTATAATAACAAAAAAGAGTGCAGCCACCCCATCACCTGTCCCTGTATTACCAGTGCTCACAGTAACACTACCATACATCATACCAATGTCCTGAACACCGCCATACCAGAATCCTGATCACCGCCATTCACCATACCAGTACCCTGACCAAACGCCATACCAGCATCCTGATTACCACTATATTCCATACTAGCATCCTGATCGCTGCTATATTCCATACCAGCATCCTGATCACTGTTATACAGGATACAAGTGTCCTGCTCAGTGCCATATGCCACCATACGCCATACTACTGTCCTGAAAACCGCGATACTCCCGACCAGTGTCCTGATCACTGCCATTTATTTATTTATTTATTTATTTATCGTGTTTATATAGCGCCAAAGGGTTTGCTCAGCGCTGTACAATAGGGGGGGACAATACATGAAACAGAACAGTAACATCAAACAGTACACAAGGGGTTAGAGGGCCCTACTCTTTCGAGCTTACAATCTAGGAGGGAGGGGGTAGAGGCACCGGAGGAAGCGGCTGTGGGGGATGAAGTGGTAGGAGGAGGGAAGGGCAGCGGCTGTTAGGTGAGGGTGGGGTAGGCTTCCCTGAAGAGGTGGGTTTTCAGGGAGCGCGCCTGAAGGTGAGGAGGGGGACGGTGACAGTCTGATGGATTGGGGTAGTGAGTTCCAGAGGATGGGGGAGGACCTGGAAGTCTTGCAGTCGTGCGTGGGAGGAGGAGACCAGGGAGCAAGATAGAAGAAGGTCCTGTGAAGAGCGAAGGGTACGGGTAGGGTGGTACCTGGGGATCAGATCGGTGAGGTAGTTAGGGGCAGTGTTGTGAATGGCCTTATAGGTCAGGGTGAGCAATTTGAATTTAATGCGTTGGGCAATGGGGAGCCAGTGGAGGGAGAGGCAGAGGGGGGTGGCAGAGGTGGAGCGGCTGGTGAGGTGGATGAGTCTGGCCGCTGAGTTCAGGATGGTCTGAAGCAGGGAGAGCCTGCACTGGGGTAGGCCGGTGAGGAGGGAGTTGCAGTAGTAGGGAGTTGCAGCCATGCCCCATACCAGTGTCCTGATCACCATCAAACCCCATACCAGTGTCCGGATAACTACCATACCCCAGCATACTGATCACTGCCATATACCATAGCAGCGCCCTGATCAACGCCATACCCCATACCATCATTCTGATCACCGCCATACCTCATACCTCAGTTTTCACAATCAATGGTCATACCAGTGTCCAGATTATCACCATACCAATATCACTGTCAACAGAGCCAATGTCCCCAGTTGTTTCCACTGTCCTTGTTCTCCAGGTCTACCAAAAATGTGAAAGATAGTCACTTCTGGGTCACCGCTGTCACTATTCTAGCCAGGGAGAGATGTATTGCAATGCAAGCTACATTGCAATACATCCAATGGAGCTCAGAGGTCTTATTAAAGAGAACCTGTCACCTAAAAATCATCACATAGGGGACTTTGTGTCCGCTATGTGATGAAAAAAAAAGTTAAATAAAAACTTTTTTTTGCAAAAAAATGAAGTTGCACCCAAGCACATAACATCTCCCCCCCAAAATTTTGAGGCCCCCCATCCCCCCCATATATACACACGTACGAACGTAAATGCATACATAGGGGCACCTATGCGTGAAGATGTCGATTGCAACACGCATTTTACATATCGCTGCGCACTCCAGAGTGAGAGCAATAATTCTAGTACAAGCTCTTCTCAGTAACATCAAACTGAATATATGTAGGGGCTTTTGAACCATTGCCTATAGAAAATATAGGGTATTGAAAAATTAATTTTACTGTGTTTTTTTTAAATTTTGTTTTTCCTAGACGTATACATTAATACCGTGTGACATAAGAAAATTGGAACTACCATTATTTTGTTTGGCTGAGAACACAAGCAAATGTGACAGTGAGCATTCCGGGCATGTCGGGAATGTAACTGTCTTGAAACTTAAATCGATGGGTTTAGTTTTGCTTATGGGAAGTGTGCTCTAGACATAATCAGTTAAACAGTTAAAGTTCAAATGATATATACAGTATGTGAAACGTATCACCAGGTGTTCAAGGTTAAATTTACTAATAACTACCTTTAGGGCTCATTCACACCATGGTGCAGAGACATCAGTTTCTCTGCACACATTCTGCATGGGCACTACTAAATCAATTGTTCTCTATAACCCCTGTTCCCAACACTAGTATCACATGCAGATTTTTTTCTGCGTAGGAATCTGCAACGTGTATAAAACTCATTGCAGTGCACATGAAAACTGTAGCAAACTGATGTCTCTGCAAATGAAGTCTGTTTTGTCAGTTTCCATCAGTTTTTCTGCACATATGGTGCGAACAAGGCCTGACAGTGTCACTGTCAGGGGTCAGGCTTGGAAACCAGTGGCTATAGCAGTAAACAGGCTTCCAATGGTCAGCTGGACAAGTATATAAGCAGGTCACCCTGGTGCAGGATGCAGGTTCTAATGGGGGCTGAAGTGCAGGATCTAAGCGCTAACCGGTATTCACCAGAGCTTCTGATGGTGAAGATGGGTTTTGCTGTGTGTTAGTACCAGGTCGCGGTCCTCAAGCTCGCCCCACCAGGAGGCGAGCAAGCCAGGGTCCAGTTGCAAATATAGCAGGTAAGGATCAAGCAGAAGTGTAGTCTGTAAACAAGTCAAAGTTCTGTAAAAAGTGGCTGCAGTTTGGGATCAAGCGGAAGTGCAGTTGAGCAAAAAGCCAAACGTTGATAACAAATGGTTGCAAGATGGTATAAAGCATAAGCGTAGGTAACAAGTGGTAGTGGAGATAAAGACAGCTGAAGGTATGCAGAGGAGCAAGATATGGGCTGGAGACAGCACAATAATCTGGCAAAAAAGAAGTGCAAATGTATGTCTTAAATAAGCAGTTTGTTCAGAGCTACTTCCAGATGCAGCAGAGTGTGTGGGTTCAGATCCCGGTCCCGACAGGTAATGAAGCAGCATCAAGTTAAATGGAAAACTGCTTAAGTAAAGCAATGCAGATATGAAGGTATTTAAATGTTACAATCTGAACATTGCAAAGGTACCTATGAATATCAAACTTTTTAAAAGTACTTTTAAAAAACATTACTTTAGAAAGAGAAGTATAACTTATCGTATAAACATCTGATAGATGCAAATAGAAATAATATGTAGATTACTGGATAAAGTACAAAGTCAGACCTTCCAAAGATGTGGAATAGGAAACACAAAGATTGTCATGAATATGAAATAAAGTAGACTAATCGTCAAACTAGCAGGTACACTGGCTTACTGCATGAAAATTCACTTTAAAAAGGAAAGGGTACTTTAAAGGTACGGAATGCAATTTTCCTCTTTGTGTAGGTATCTTATTCATTAACAAAGAAACTTAACATAACTAGTAACTTCAATATTCATAAACCACAAAATATTAAAATGGTTACAAAAAGAATCACTTTTTCTTTTCAGACTTGTTTTTTTATTCACAGATTTGTGTACATGAATACAGAG